TAATTGACAGGCACTTGCATATATTACTGGTAGGGTGACCAAACAGTACAACCTTTATAGAAAAATGCAGCAATGATTGTGGCAGGCAGACTCTGAAGTGGGCCTTCCAATACTCCTTACCTCCTGCTATATATGCCTTTATGTATTTCCCTTCCCTTTGTATGGGGAACCTAGATCTTGCTTCTAACCAACAAAATATGACAACAGTAATGTGATCTCATGCCTCAGATCACTACCAGCGTAGACTCTGAGAGCATGCTTGATCTGAGACTCTACTTGCTGACTTGAAGTATGTGGCCATTTTGGGAACACTCACAAGACAAGGAGCTGCCTGCTGCCTGTAGGAGACATGGCAGGTTTCCAGCTTCCAGCCAGCCATGTAGCCAAGGGTCCTCAATCCTACAACCACAATGAACAAAATGTAACAACAGGAGTGACCCTGGAAGCAAATGCTTTTCCAGTCAATCCTCTTCAAGCAAGCACATAGCTCAGCAGACACCTGGATGCAGCCTATATGACCCTATAAAGGACCCAGTTAATTCAAATCCAGATGACTGATGCACAGAAGCTCTGAATGTGCTATTCTGAATAGTTAAATTTGTGGTAATTTATTGCATACCAATAAGTACATATGCATCTACCTTCTGGATTGGACAATCTCACTTCTAAAAATTTAAATTAAAAATATACTTCTAACAGTATGAAAATACAAGCTGGGCACTGGTGGCTCACCCCTGTAATCCTAGCTACTCAGGAGGCAGAAATCAGGGGGATAGCAGTTTGAAACCAGCCCAGGCAAATAGTCTATAAGATCCTATTCTCAAAAAAACCATCACACACACACACAAAAAAAAAGACTGGTGGAGTGACTCAAGGTATAGTATAGGCCCTGAGTTCAAACCCCAGTATGGCAAAAAAAAACACAAAAAAACAAAAAAACAAAAACCCCACATATGCATATATGCATAAGGTTTTTAACTGCAGCATAGTTTATGGTTGTAAGATTGCCAAGTAGCTATACAGCCAAATGTAGCAAATTACTGAGAAAGATCTCCATGGACTGCTATATAGCTGTATCTAGGATATATTAACTCAAAAAAAGCAAATGCAAAATATATAGCATGCAATCTTTTGTGTATGACAAGAGGGGATAATTTTTTTTAAATGTACTCGCTATTATTTTTGGAGGGAGGGGGAACTGGAAACCAATAATATTGCCTATACCAAATGTGGGTGTGGAGAGAGGGGATATGGAAGAAAAAAGGGAAGAAATGGCACTTCTGGAATATCACTCTGTAGTCTAGTGGATAGTCCATAAATCAAAATATAAAAATAAATCAATAAAATGGGAGGACGACAACACAATCATCCTAAAACTAAAAGCAAAGAGAAACAAACCTAGGTATACTGAATTTCAAATGAAAAAACATAATGGGCCAGATGCCAGTGCCTCACACCTGTAACCCTAGCTACTTAGGAGACAGAGATCAGGAGGATTACAGTTCAAAGCCAGCAGGGGCAAATAGTTTAAGAGCCTCTATTTCAAAATTACCACCTTTCCAACTTGGGCCCAGCAGGATGGCTCCCACAAAGGGTGGCAAGAAGAAGGGATGTTCTGTCATCAACAGGTTGGTGATCGAGAATACACCATTAGCATTCACAAGTGAATTCATGGAGTGGGCTTTAAGAAGCATGCCTCTGAGGCACTCAGACAAATCCAGAATTTTGCGACGAAGGAGATGGGGACTCCAGATGGGCATTGAAAAGGCTATCTATCAGGGCCAAAGGAATAAGGAATGTCCCACAGTGTGTCCTTGTGCAGTGATCAGAAAACATAACAAGGATGAAGACTCACCAAACAAGCTCTCAACTTTGGTAACTATGTTCTTGTTACCACATTAAAAAATTTGCAGATAGTCAATGTGAATGAGAAGTTAACAGCTGAGTGAAAATAAAGTTGTAAAACTGCCAAAAAAAAAAAAAAAAAAAAAAAGAAAACACCCAATGCAAAAAGGGTTGGCGGAGTGACTCAAGTTGTAGAGTGCCTGCCTAGCATGTATGAGTGCCTGAGTTCGAAACCCGTACCACCAAAACAAAAAAGCGAATGGACTAGAGTGGAGTGGAGGTTCAAGAGGGTTAATTTGAGTACATTGTGAAGAATATTTTATTATTTACCCTAAGTCTGGGGGAAAAATAATTGCTAGAAAATCCTGAACTCCTTTTAGTAGGTTTCTTTTTAATAGAGGAATAGATGTAACATTTATAAAACCAAATGTGCTGATATTGGTCACCAGGGTTCTCACTGTGGAAAAAGGTAAATAGATATAGAGAAGAGGCAAAACCAAGGAGGAAACCTATAGATAGGAATGACATTAGTTATCAGCATGAATTCCTAATTTCCACTATGTGGGGGGGGGAGTGTGTGTGTGTGATGTGTGAGTCCATCTACTGAAAGGCCCAGAAGAAATGACACCTTATTAAAATGTGACAGACCTGGTGTCAGCTTGTGGTTTCTCTGTAAATTCCACATTAAAAGGAACCAGGAGCCAGGTGTCATTGGCTCAGGCCTGTAATCCTAGCTACTCAGGAGGCAGAGATGAGGAGGATCACGGTTTGAAGCCAGCCTAGGCAAATAGTTCTTGAGACCTTGTCTCGAAAAAACCCATCACAAAAAAGGGCTGATGGAGTGATGTAGGCCCTGAATTCAAACCCCAGTACTACAAAAAAAAAAAAGTCCTTGGACAAAAAGCCAACTCCTGAACTGAAGTCAGGAACACAGAAGATGGGCCTGAAATATCTTGCTTTAACAGGAAGTACCAAAAAAAAAAAAAAAAGTAATGGATAATAATCTACCAAATAAAATAGGAACCACAAGTCCTTCCTAAGGAATAGTTAAAAACGTATGTATGGGAGAAGGAAGAGCTCTTCATTATAGAAGAATGCAGACTGCTAATCGTAAAGTTAGAAAATCACCACTTCCCAAGCCACATCACAGCACAGATTGCTTCATGCAGGAATCATCAGTGAAGGATAATTCTAGGGGGCATAAAGTATGAAGGGAAGCAGGATATTAATAGCATGGTCTAATATTGCCTTGTCAGAAATTGCTTCCAAGTTGAGAGAGGAGATATAATAACTAAACAGTAGGAAAACCAGGTAACACCATAAATGAATGTTTAAACAAACCTAAATTTTTAGTGATGGATTGACAGACATTGTATGTTTCTGTAACTGAAATCAGGAAAAAGGACATAATATTCTGTAAAATAACTTCCTTGTATTCTTCAAAAACGTCAATGTCACAAAGTCAAAGAAAGGCCAAAGAACTGTTTCAATTAAAGACATTGACAATTAAGATGCCAGACTGCATGGAAAAATAAATACTCTAAAGGACGTTATGAAATATGAATATATTCAGTATTAAGGTTAATTTTCCTCAGTTTTTTTTTGGTGCTGGGGCTTAAACTCAGGGCCTACACCTTGAGCCATTCTACCAGCCCTTTTTTCTGATGGGTTTTTTCAAGATAGGGTCTTGAGAAGTATTTGCCCAGGGCTGGCTTGGAACCGCATTCCTCCTGATCTCTGCGCCTCCTGAGTAGCTAGTATTATAGACGTGAGCCACCGGCTAACTTTCCTCAATTTTATAACTGTAAGAGAATACCTTTATTCTTGATAATAAACTCTGATGTATTAAGCAGTTAAAAAAAAAGTGTCACTGGGCACTTTTGGCTCACACCTGTAATCCTAGCTACTCAGGAGGCAAAGATCAGAAGGATCACAGTTTGAAGCCAACCCGAGGAAATAGTTGGTGAGACCTTATCTCGAAAAACCCTTCACAAAAAAAGGCTGGTAGAGTGGTTCAAAGTGTAGACCCTAAGTTCAAGTCCCAGTACTGCAAAAAAAAAAAAAAAAAAAGCGTCATAAACACAAACTGACCACTTCAATGGTTTTAAAAAATAAGTGTGTGTGTGGTTTTATACACACACATAAAGCCAAGAATGAGGGAGAGGGAGGTAAGGAAAGGGTGGAAATGATAAAGCAATGTGGAAAAAAAGCTAAAAATTGATAAATTAGTAAAGAGTACATGGGAGGTCTCTGTAAAATTCATGCAATTTAACCATAATTTTGAAGTTATTTCAAAATAAAAAGTTTTTAAAAAGAGACACACATATGTACTGACAATTCTGGAAGGATACACCCAAACTCAGGGGTTCTGAATATGGGACCAGTGGATCCCAGGGTTTTGTGGATAAAATCCACTGGGCCTATGAAAAGGATGGGGGAAAAATTACATTTTAACTTCATCAATCTTTACTGATATTTTCTTCAATTATTAATGTAGGCAACCAACAAAAATCACATTTGGACTTCACAGCAGTTCTCAAAATAACACATATACCTTTTAGCATTTTTATAATCCAGTAATTACACTTGCTGCTAGACTGTAGTTAATGCAATACATTGTAAAAAGCACTTAATATCATAAATTTGCTTTTTAAGTATTCTGGTAACTTTATTTCAAATTAACTTCTTTACAATTCTATGCATTTTATTTTATTCATTTGTAAACGTTATTCTGAAAAGCAGACCACGGGCTTCAGTCTGTCCAAGGGCTCTAGGTCACAAAAAAGTTAAGAACTTCTTCTCCAAAGTACAGAGCTCTCCTTTGCACATAGGTACATCATAATGAGACAAATTAAAAATTTGCAGGTTTTTGCTTTGCCATAAAGCAGATTATAAGAAGATGCACCATCACCGATAACAAGTATTCATTTTAACTTTTCTCATAATTGATTTCCCATAATTGCTAGAACAAAAATTACTCAAAATATGAATGCAACCTCATACAAAGAATCCAATAATGAATGTAACACACATGCAAAACATGCAGGCACACAGCAACTATAAAAATGAATCAAGACTGTGAAATGTCTCACACAGAAACTAAGTGATTATACAACTTAAGGAAACTGGTTTAAAAAAAAAAAGGTACTATTTACCATCTCTCTTTTGAAAAATTTTTTAAAATTTCTTTAATAATTGGCTGGTAGCAGGCATCCCTCTCTGCTTTCCCAGTTTCACTCCAGTCTCTCACAAATTGTTTCAATGTGGATTTTAACTTATCCATGTCAAATGTAGATGCTGGCATAATTTTTCCATTCCCCTGTTTAAAAAACAGAAATCAATTAATTTCTGAGAATCAATTTTGAATATGCTTAAGTGGACATGCTATTAAGGGGCTACACAGGTGGTTTAGTGGATAAATCACTACTTCTCACCTCAAGAGCAGCTTGAGATCCTAAATGAATAGTGTGGTGGTTTCACATCTACCCTCAATAGATTAACTTTCATTAATCATAAAACCACCATATAATTAAGCAAGAGAGGACCAGAACTGAGGTGCTATGGACCAAACACCCTATCCTCTCTCTAAAAGAGGGAAGAAAGTCCCTCCAGGTCACTATTGGGGCAACATGGAGAGACTCACACTGGTGTGGCCCAACTGTTATCTATCCTGCGGATTCAAAAAGAGAACTTCAGTTTCTACTACTACCATTTCTTGAGAGTTAAGTGAAAATAATTTCTTAAAGTAAAAGGTTATCAACAGAATCAACATACTGAAAAAAATTAATTTTTCATAGCTAGTAGTAATCTTTTATAAAAATTTAAATCGCTAACCTTATATACCAAAACATTTAAAACACTTATGTCAACAGTGTATTTAAAAAAAAAAAATCCACAGCATCAGTGAACAAAACCAGCCTCTGACATACTGCTTTGTAGCCTCAGTAAATGACTGAACATACAAGTGAAAACATTCTCTGAGTGGAGTAAATGACCTGTGCAGTGCAAGACTATAAAACTGAAATTCAGTAAGATAATCTAAAGACCTCAAAATATAGAAGCTAAATCCTAAAATAAAAACAAATAGAACAAACTTTCACATACATCTTCTCCATATTCTTTATTTTCAAACATATGTATGCAATCATTCACAATGGTCAGTAGTATTTCTTGATTATGATCAATGCATTTCCGGATCTTGTCCAAGTGAAGAGGAAACTGAGGAAGTAGTTTCTGTTGATTATCTGGAAGTGATCGAAACTGTCTTTCTGTTCGGTTCACTCGCTCATGCATACTGGTGCTAAAACATAAAAGGTGTTTTTTAAATTGGCAAAAGAATTTTCATCAGAAGACAACCTTATTCTAAGACTGTCTTTCTATATAATTATTCCTTTATGTTGGATACTGTCCTTCATTTATAATCTTTTGGCTTCTTAAGAATATCAACTTACAGAGCTTTATATGTTTTATTACAAATCCTTCTCAAACCAATCAAACACAATTAGCTTGCAATTAAAATAGATACCTGCACCACTTAGAAGGGGAAAAGAGAAAATATACAATTTCTTAATTGTACATTTCTTAAAGTGAAAGAGTATCAACTAATAAAAGATTAATGCACATTTTTCTGAGTTCAATTTTCAAACTTAAATTTTAGTAAAACTAGATGAATGAATGCCTTAGATTTCTCCATCATTAAAGTAGCAAAATGCTGCTGTGGAAATAATTTAGAATGGGTTAGGGATACAACTCAATGGTAGAGTGCTTGCCTAGCATGCACGAGGGACCTGCGTTTAATCCCCAGAACCACAACACAACAAAAAGAAATAAAATAATTTAAAATTAACACAAAATGGTTTTGAAACAAACTAAAAGCCAACTAAGTTGAATTCTGAAAACTATTATGAGAGATCTGGAAACTATTATGAGAGATCTTATATACTACAAAAGTATACTGGAATTATGTAGGATTTCACATGACAATATTCACACTTTGCATTCCAAAGACTTCCAGGTAAGTGTAATGGTCACTTTGGGGACTGCTTACTTATAAAACAAACAAACAAAAGAGACAACAACATTTTCAAAAGTTAAATGTACATTCACAATTAAATGTCATTTTACATCAACCAGATGGGCAAATTTTAAAGCTTGACTAGATCAAATGTTGGTGAAAAAGTGGTATAATTAGGACATTTGTACACTAATGTTGGGTGCATAAATTAGTACAACCACTTTGGAAAATAACTTATCATTACCTAATAAAGGTAATATGGAATCTGTCCTATGACCTAGCAATTATACTAGACCCAAGGAACTCTTAAAAATAGGTACCATTAGGGCTGGGCATAGAAATATGGGGCTAGAATATAGTGATTTTTTTTTTTAAACAAAAACTGGGTGGTATTCACTGTATTATTCCTTATATTTTAAATATACAAGCATTCTTTGGCACTTACTCAATACTAAATGAAAATGAAAAGTACCTTTTCCATTTGGTTGCCTAAATCTTTTTAATCTATCTATTCACCCAAACAATTCTTTCATTTTAACATTCTTATACCAATTTACTCTCTAACTGTAGAACAGTAATAAACTCAGAAGAAGCTCTTGACAAAACTTAAGCACAAATATCATGTTTTTAGAAGCTTATCTGTGGTGGTTTGGTGTGAGAGGCGCTTAGGGGTAATGTGAAGAGATCAAGATGGCATTAGGTACACGGGCGTTTGGTATTTTTCTCCTTGGAGACAGTAGAGAGCTTTGAAGTCAGGCAGATCTATATTGGAACCCAGGTTATGTCACCTATTTGGTATGTGACCACAGGCAATTTACATCCTTCCACTGTGCTCCAACTGTGTTGTATAAAACACGATAATAGCAAAAATGATTATAATGATGTTTGTAGAAGCTACCACTGCTTGAGATTTAATAAATGCCAGGTGCTAAGCCAAGTACTTAATAGAAATTACTCTGAAAAATGTATAGGAAACCCCTCAAGATAGGTACAATACTCCTCCCTCTGTCCACCCCCCGAGTTTCACTGAAAATGGAACTACTGCACAAGACACTTATTTCAAAGGCTGAAAACACAGTAATATTCAAAAAATAGTAGGACAGTGAAAATCTGAATATGAAAAATACAGAAGTAGAAAGGGAAAAAACAGCTAATAACCCCTCTTCTAGAAGGAACCACTTTTTGCACATTTCTGTTTTGTTCTGAAGACAAAGTCATCTAACACCTTTTCTAAAAACTGAGTATTGACATTCCAATTGCATATTTCCATGGGGTACAAAGTGATTTTGTGTTACAAAGTATAATGATTAAACCAAGCTAATTAACATATCTGTCACCTCACATACATCATTTATTACTCCAGTACAATGAAACATTGTATCCTCTGAAGAACAATCTCCATTCTCCACCAACCTCCCTTGCCAACACCATGGTAACCACCATACTACCCTATTCCTCTAAGATTATTTTAGATTCCACATAAAAGTGACAATATGAGGTATTTGTCTTTCAGTGTCTGGTTTATTTCATCTAACATCTTTCTGTTCAAAATATAGTACAGTGCAGGGCACCCTAGCTATTTGGGAGGCTGAGATTGGGAGGATGGAGGTTCAAGGCCAGCCCAAGCAAATAGTTCATGAGACCCCGTCGCCAGAATAACCAGAGCAAAACAGACTGAAGTGTGGCTCAAACAGTAAAGTGCCTGATTTTTAGTTCAAACCCCAGTGCCACCAAAAAAAAAAAAAAAAAAAAAAAAAAAAGTACACAGATCACTTGGAAATGTTTATGAATACAGACTCACTCTCAAGCCTTATCCAAGATCTACTGACCTAGAATCTGCCTCTCAGCCAAGACTCACAGGTAACTGAAAGTTTGAGGAGTACTTGTAATTCTTCATCCTTATCAAAAGAGTTTTCCTAGATTGGAAAAAGTTCTCAAATATAACATGACTATAATTGACTGCTTAACAATCCAATTTATGCAACTAAAATTTACTAAACTATTTCCTAACTATTGGGCATTTCAGTTTTTTCACTGGTCATAATGAATTTTTTGTGTGCAAAATGTGTCTATACTTGCTAAAGTTTGGGTGTCCCCATCAAAACTCATGTTAAAATTTAATACCCACTGTGAAGTATAAACAGGATGGAAACCTAATCCAGCTATGGTATCTGAAGGTGGGACCCCTGTAAGGTAATTAAGGTTAAATGAGGCCATAAGGATGGGGCCCTAACCCAAAGAGATTGTGGCCCTGTAAGACAAGAAGAGATAAATTAGCATGCTTAGCCCCTCTTCTCACCATGTGATTCCCTACACTGCCTCAGACTCTGTGGACTCCCCACCAGAAAGGACCTCACTTGATATACCCACACAACCTTCAACTTCCTAGCCTTCAATACCTTGAACTAAATACACCTCTTTTTCTTATAAATTGCTTACTCTGAGGTATTCAGTTATAGCAACAGAAAATGATATTTTAGAAAAAAATTAGCACAAATTTCCCAAAGTAGAATGATCAGATCTGAAGGTATTAAGTATTTTTAAGGTTTTATGATTTTCAGAAAGATTGTATCAATTTACATTATTATATAAAGTGGCCTTATATATGTTAGGAAACAGTAGGGCTGTGACAGTTTAAAATTCACTATCAATAGGTTAAACAGTCTCACAGAACTTTTTTTTCCCAATATTCCTGGGAATAGATGCCCTACAGCCTCCCTTCCCATACCTCAAAATTCATAACCAAACTGACTGTAGCATGTGCCCTTCTTCCTATGCAGTTAATATTGATGAGTGATACACCATAAATGCACTCAAGTCAGAAACAGTCATCGTCCCCAAATGCCCCCCCCAGTCCCACAATTAAGAAGCCTGACACACTTTTTGACCCTACTTGACAAAGTTGTCTGCAAATTACTCCAGCTCCGGTGCTTTACCACTGTTCCCATTATGTCTCCCAAAGATTAATGGGAGGCCTACTACCTAGGAATACTGTGCCACCCTCCCCACCTTTACCTCTAATCAAATGAATTCTAAAATGCAAGCCTACCTTTGCCACCAGTGAATCTTTACATTTCAACATATTGTAGAAAAGTAATCAATAAATATTCAGTTGTGCTCCCACTTTTGATTCTTCAAGGAGACTACTTGTGTTACCACAGCTGCAGGGGGAGCTGAGGTGAGTTATGCTATCAATTGCTGATATAAAAGTGAAGTAACTACGCATAGCAGGATGAAATGATGCATGTTCCTTAATCCCTGGTTACTTAATGGTATGCAAAGCTAGTAGTAACACACACCCAGAGACACTCTTAAAATAGGGGGCTGACATGTGCTCAGTTAGAACACATGTTTAGGGACAATGGGTGCAATCCCCAGCACCACCACCACCAAAAAAAAAAAAAGAGTGGCTTCATCATTAGCAACACCACCAACAACAGATGTTGGCGAGGATGCGGGAGAAAAAGGAACCCTCTTACACTGTTGGTGGGAATGTAAACTAGTACAACCACTCTGGAAAAAAATTTGGAGGCTACTTAAAGCTAAACATTGATCTACCATTTGATCCAGCAATACCACTCTTGGGGATATACCCAAAAGACTGTGACACAGGTTACTCCAGAGGCACCTGCACACCCATGTTTATTGCAGCACTATTCACAATAGCCAAGTTATGGAAACAGCCAAGATGCCACACTACTGATGAATGGATCAAGAAAATGTGGTATCTATACACAATGGAATTTTATGCAGCCATGAAGAAGAAGGAAATGTTATCATTCACTGGTAAATGGATGGAATTGGAGAACATCATTCTGAGTGAGGTTAGCCTGGCCCAAAAGACCAAAAATCGTATGTTCTCCCTCATATGCGGACATTAGATCAAGGGCAAACACAACAAGGGGATTGAACTTTGATCACAAGATAAAAGCGAGAGCCCACAAGAGAGATATGAGGATGGGTAAGACACCTAAAAAATTAGCTAGCATTTGTTGCCTTCAACGCAGAGAAACTAAAGCAGATACCTTAAAAGCAACTGAGGCCAACAGGAGAAGGGGACCAGGAACTAGAGAAAAGGTTAGTTCAAGAAGAATTAACTTAGAAGGTAACACACATGCACAGGAAATCAATGAGAGTCAACTCCCTGTATAGCTATCCTTATCTCAACTAGCAAAAACCCTTGTTCCTTCCTATTATTGCTTATACTCTCTCTTCAACAAAATTAGAGATAAGGGCAAAATAGCTTCTGCTGGGTATCAAGAGGGTGGGGGGGGGAAGGGAAGGGATGGGATGGGGTGGGTGGTAAGGGAGGGGGTGGGGGCAAGGGGGAGAAATGACCCATATTATTCATATGTATGCACATATTAATAATAAATAAATAAATAAATAAAAGAGTGGCTTCTTACCAAGTTGATCCTTACCATACTTATAATTGGGGCTAACTTCAGTAGCCAGGAAATCTTACACTGACTACTGGGGTCATTTTTTGCAGCCTCTTCAAGCAGCACAGCTGAGCCCACTTGTTTACATAATTTTTATTTTTGCTTCCACACAAGGATGGAGTTGGACAATTGTGAAGCCATACCTAGCCCTAACAGCTGAAAACATTTACTTCTTGGCCTTTTTAATAAACTGCCTATCCAGCTTTTAAGGAATGTTTTACAATCAGACTCTGGTTCTGAACTAAGTAATAGCATCAGGAGCCCATACCCATGAATCAAAAGGTATTTATTGGCCTATGTCCTTTAATCTAAATATGCTACATATTAACGAGAAGACATTTCGCAGTAAAACCAAACCTTCCAAAATGTGGAAGTACTTGCTACAGGTGTAGGATTGTCCACGACCGCTTACTTCAGTGATGGAAAGGCTTGTTACTTACATTCCAATACAGCACATACTAGCTGGTGTGGCTACTGAGCATGTAAAATGTAACCAGTGAGACTGAGCAACTGAATTTTAAGTTTTATTGAATTTTAATTAAAGGTTAAATTTATCCAAATGCGGTTTGTGATACTGGACAGTGTAAATTTAGAATACCAAACATGGGTGGAATGCAACATCTAGTGTGGTTTCTGCTTTCCTCTGAGGGCTCTTTTTATTATTTTTTTTAATGCATTATTTTTAAGTGTATTTTTGATATTATACTATTTTCAGTCTAGAGAGTTGAAGTATTTCATCTAGAGAGCATATACAAATAAGAAGGACTTTTTTTTTTTTACAAAACAAAAAATTTCTTTAATCCCACACTAAGCTGATAAAGAGAAATGATAGTACAGGGACTAGTGTCACAAGTACTAGCACATGTACACAGCTCCCTTTCTCTACTGCCACTTAAAACTAGTTCCAGGTCAAAGCTCCCTTCCCCCAGCACAAACACCCATTCTACACCTAACAACACCTATTATTCTAAATTGGTCCTAATATGTTGAAACTGGGTATAATTACACACATTCAATTAATTGAAGCTACTACATTCCCAATTTCCCAATATTCTTTCTAGGTTTTTCAACAGCAAAATGTACCTTATTTTTCTGCACCTACCACTAAGCAGGCTGATGTTAGGTCACTGTAAATGGTTCTTTCAGGCACAATTCTGGTATGAAATTTAATTCTCTGGTGTTCTGCCTTCCTTCCTCAGTTGCTACTGAATCAGAGAAATAAAATACCCAAACTACTGATTCCTTTTTGTGCTCTGGAAGTAATGCAGCCCATGCCCTTTACTCCTGGATTTAATTAGTAAATTATTTCAACGAGATATTTGAACTTAAAAAATTTTTACAAAGTGTAAGAGGAAATGCTTAGTAAACTCAAAGCCCTAGATTAGATTGCCAGCACACTCCCCCCCTTCCAAAATAACATTCTGTCACAAATGTAATCAGGTCCCAAGTAACTTACTAAGCAACATTCTAAATTCTAAACAGTAACAAACCAGTGTAACCATCAGCCAAAAACTGGTAACACTATTTGGGAATGTATTTGCTACTATGTTTTATATGTTAAAAACAGAGCTTCAATAACACTTCCAAGCACTGATGACACAAAAGGCTTAGTCCCTGCCCTTGAGGAGGTCACAGTCAAGCAAGAGATTTATATACATAACTACAATACAAATGAGATCAACATTAAAAAAAAAAAAAAAAAAGCATAAACCACAGCAAGCCCCCGTCCAAGACGGTTTTACCTGCATAGGTCTTGCCTATCTGGTTCCAACTGCAGGCTCGAAAGATAGCTACTTAGTGGACTCTCGTGTCGCTTATATTAATAGTTGTGTTATCTTATACAGTTGATCTAAGTCCCTTTCAGAGTTTGAAATTATCTCATTTTCTTTTATTTTTGCAGCACTAGGGTTTGATCTCAGGGCTTCGCGCTTGCTAGACAGGCGCTCTACCAATCACCCACACACCCAGCCCTTGAAATTTTAATTTTGTGAACAGGCTATTATAACATCTATCTAGAAGAAACACTGAAGTTAGGAAGTTGTATTACGAATGAGGTACATACTACCCAGTAAGCCAGCCCAAGAAGAGAATTCGATACACATTTGCAGAATAAGTAAAGCTGGCTGTTACTGTGTCTTCTCTCATTTCCCTTATTAATTAGCAAATTTTGAAATATCAGAACCATCTCTACCCTTACCCATCCACCAGTTAGAACCACTGTGCAACCCTCTATTCAGTCGCTCGCCACCAAAGCGCATGTATATTCACACCGCCAAGGTGGGGGGGGGGCGGGGAGAGGCGAAATCTATTACCAGAACTGGCCACAGTTTGGAAAAAAAAAGTCCCAGGGATGCCCACGTGTAGGTGAACTTGAGCTTTCCGTAAATTAAGTTTGGAAGACATCGACTCATGTCCTACACTAGACGATTTTACCACCATCCTCTTCTGCTTGAAAAGTGTTACAGCACGTCGGTCATCCCCAAAGCCAAGCCTTTTTACAAGGGACGGAAGGCAGGGGAGCTAACGCGATCCCGCGGGTAGGAGACACGAGGCTGAGCAACGAACGGCGCGGCAGACACGCGGTGTGCAGGGCTGGGAGCTGCCGGGGTGGGGCGAGAGGACTCGGGCCCGACTCCAGCTCAGGAGGTCGGGCCCGGGACCCGACGGGCGGGCGGGGATCCGCCACGGGCTCCTTACCCGTAGTAGCGGAAGGCATTAATGATCTTCCAGAAGTGCTCGCGCTCGAGCCTCTCCTCCTCCTCCTCCGTGCTGCGCGTGGCTGCCGCCGCCGAAACCGCCGCGGCCGAGCCCAAACGCCCGGCAGAGAACTGCACTTCCACCTCCTCGTTCCCGCCGCTGCCGCCGCCGCCTCCCCCGCAGCCCTCGGGCAGCTGCGAGGCGGACGGCGGGGCACGCCGCCGTCGCTGCATCGCCGCCAAGGCCCTCGGCCTGGCTCGTTTGCGTCCCGCCGCGACTGAAAGCGTGGTGGCGACTGCTCGGCCTCCCCCTAGACAGCGCCTGCCGCGGACATACCCCCACCTCGCGGCACGCTCCGCCCCCGCCGCCCTCAGGCCTCCATGCGCACCCCGCTCCGCCAGGTCTTCGGGACGCCTGCAACATGCGCGCATGCGCGTGCGAGGGTACGACAACCTCCTTCGCTCATTTGCTGCCGGGCACTGGCGACGACGGGCTGACGTCATGATGATGCTTCCGGGGGCGGAGCTATGGGCCAGGTGGTGGAGCGAGGTGGGAGGTGCTCCTCTGTGGGGTTGGGCTTGCACAGCTGGCACCTGTGAGCTTCGGTATGGGCGGGGCTTGGAACCTGACGTGGGGAGCAGACGCTGGCTAAGGCACCAACAAAGAAGGGAAAAGCAGAAAGCAAAAGTTCAGCTTTGGTGATTTTATATAGGACGTTTAATTTCAGAGACTCTTAAAAGAGGATCTTGTGTTCACCTTGATTTATGCTTTAATTCACTTCCTAAATGAATATCTTTTAATTGCCTAAGGAAATGGAAAACATGATCATCTTTCCAGTGGCTAGGGACCTACCAAAAGTCCTAACCCCAGCCTGGCTCGGCGAGGCCCACCTGTGTTCCCAGGTACTGGGAGGCTGAAGCAGAGGATCTCGAATTCCAGGCAGCCTGGGCAAGAGACCCTGTCTCAAAAAAAACAAAACCAAGCAAAATAAATATCCGCAGAAATCCTAATCCTGCCCTGATGACAGCAGCAAATGAGAAAAATAGACAAACTCAATTCTCTCCAGTACCTGTGCTTGGGAAGACCATTTTACCCACCAGCATATAACAGTAGTCTTAAAATCCTGGATCTAACCTAACTCTTCCTTTTTTGTCACCTACGTTAGTTCAATTTTTGCCTCATTTCTCTTGGCTCAATTCTAAAACAGCACTGCATTTAATGTTATTCTTTGAAATATAACTCACTCCATTCAATCCACCACCTAGTAAATTAGTTTCACAAAACAAGAGTAAAAAAGAAAGATTTCTTTACTCAGAAGAGTTAAATATGTCCAGGACCACAAAGTTTGTTTAAAAGATATAATCATATTGAAAATAAAGTGGCTTCATGTTTTTATGATTTAAATTAATAATTGAAATAAAGGCAATGCTAAGAAATGCTGTCTCTCTCTCTCTCTCCTTCTACATTATGGGACCTCCCACTCTACATTAGATGTGTCCACGGGATGCCTTCTCCACACCTTCCCCCTTGGTCTCCAAGATGATATATAACCTAAGCAACTAATCTATGACTGCAACACCATTTGGCCTCAGTACAAGCTAGACAATCATTCACAATGGCCTGAAAACGGAGCTTCTGATTTTCACACACTTCTAGATCTTGACAATTTCTGCCATCACAAGGGCAAGTGATCTAAAAATCCATTCGTCCAAGCTTTTCTTTCTCTCCACTCTCGACTCTCCTTGCTCCAATCTTGTAATGCTGTTCAAATCCTCCTTGCCAGTGACAAACCCCCCTCAAAGTCTGTGTCTCTCTCTCCCACTGAACTCTCTTACTTGTGACCTCACGGGCTCTGTCTGCCCACCTCCCAACTTCTCCCACCAGCCCTCTACTTCAATCTCTTCTCCCACCCCATCCTCCCATGACTCAGACCCCCCTTCTTCTACCCCTGCTAGCTCTCCCAAACATCCGTCACACTATTCCCCTTCTACAGTGGTCACAATTGACCCAGAGCCTTCGGCTTCTCAGGAACCAACACCGCCAGCCTTGCCCTCAGCCCTTTCTATACCCTCACCCTTCTCCTCCCCACCTGCATCCCATACCCGCTCCCATACCTCCTCCCAAGCACGCTCAGCCCACCTGTACCACTCCGGGAGGTGGCAGGAGCTGATGACATTATCAGAGTTCATGTGCCCTTTTTCATGACTGATCTCTCTAAAATTGAAAAGAGACTAAACTCCTCTAATGACTCAACCTCCTATATTAAAGAATTTAAATACCTAACCCAAGCATATGATATAATTTGGCATGAAACCCATCTTCCAAGGATGGAATAATTATTCTCAACTCTCATTTATTTCCCGATCCTTCCTTGATAGTCTAAGAAAACTTAAACAGGCAGAGGATGGTCCTGAAACCCCGCAGGGAGATCTTGTGAAAATGGCATTTAAGGTATTTAATAACTGAGATGAGGCTTGAGACCAGCGAAAGGCCCAACTCTTGGCGGCTGTGCTGAGGCTGCCTCCTACAACCTCGAGACGGGCCGGACAACAACGCACACCTCCAGGGCCTGCTTCAACTGCAACCAGACAAGACACTGGGCAAAACACTGCCCTTCACCTTGCCCGCTGCCAGGACCCTATCCACAATGTGGGCCAGAATGGGCACTGGAAGGATGACTGCCCCTCTTTGTCTCTGCAAAGTAGGTCAGTCTCCCACTCCCACTCTCAACAGAGACCTCTTGGACCTGGCGGCAGAAGACTGACATGGCCCTGGGACCTCGGCCCCCTTCAAGATCACCTCCGAGGATCCCAGGGTAACCATCCAAGTAGCAGGCAGGCCTCAATCACCTACTTGGTGCTACCTGACTTTTCAGGTAAGCTTTATCCTTCACAGATCTTCATGGTGGGGGGGGGGATGTTCTCATCCACCAGCCAAAAAGGAAAGACACTTTTATTTAATTTAAAATTCTTATAAAAGTTAATTTTAAAATACAAGTTGAAAAGTAAACAACTGGAAAGGATATAGATAGGTATTGAACGTATTTTTGAGAAGTTGAAGGAAAAAGGAATGATGGTTTTTTGGATGAGAAAGGATTTTGTAAAGAAGGGTTTGTCCTAAAGATTGTTTCAAATATGGGGAGGAGGAATAAGGACAAACCATCAAAGGGTTTAGTATGTTGTATGAAGGTCTGAGTAAGTTTTAAAAGTGTATAATAAAAGCTTCAGTGCGTGGTAAAGTTAAAGTTGACTATAATCTAGGAGTTGCCTAAAAGATTTTTAAGGTCATGTCAAACTAAAATCTAGTTCTCTATGTCCATAAATTAATAAGGCTATCTTAATATTATTCTGCTCTGAGTAACATCTACAAAAAAAGTCTTATAGGGAAAGATTTTATCAAAGAAATTACTTGTGTTTTCTGTTGATCTTGTTAAGCTTTAAGTACTACTAAATCAGAATTCATTTACGTATTTGCTCATGCAAAGGTCTCTTAAATGACCACCTTATAACTTTGTTCTGTGTCTATACTTTATCTAAATAAGATACAAACATTTACAGAGTTAAAAGTGTCAGTTTATGTAAAATAATGAGCTAAAGCTCTTTTTTATCCAAAAGTGCTACATTTAACCTGCATTCTGACAGCCAGCCTCTATTTGCCTTTAAAGGTACCACAAACGCTTCATAACAACTAACCTGGTCAGTTTTGCCACAGGAATTTAAAGACAGCCCTCATCTTTGTGGACAGGCCCTAACCAGAGACTAATTAGATTGGCAGTACCCAGCGGCCACCCTTCTTCAATATGACTTCAGTGCAGAGCCACACAGCCCCTCACCTGCAGGGTGACTGAGTCCTTTAAAAAAAAAAAAACTTTCTGGCCTCTGGGAATACAAAGTCTCTAAGGAGAAGGCTCAATTAGGTTTCCCTCAGGTCACCTACCTAGGTGCGGTCTTAAAGGGACAGACTCACTCTCTGAGTCATGAATGAATCAACCCCATCCTCCGTTTCCCACTCCCCCATACCATAAAAGCAGCTTACAGCTTTCTTGGGAATTACAGGATTTCATAGAATCTGGATTACTAGATATACATCCCTTAGTAGACACCTTTTATGCTCCTTCTAATACTCCTATTTGGGTCTTGAGTAATGTATGGCTACCCATTTCTCTTAGGAAACTTGCCTTCAGTAGACTCTGCTCCTCTGGCTGACTATCTTATCTTAATCTCCTCCAGGAACTTCTCAGAGAGCATGCAGACCAGATCCTGCCCCACCCCTCAGAGGGCCCTATAACAGTTTCTACTAGGGGATCTTGTTCTCCTAAAGGATCTTCAACCCTCTCCGTTGGGACCTTGGTGGACTGGCCCTCATCTGGTCATCCTCACAACACCCACCACTGTCAAAGCTCAACGGGACCCCCCCCATTGGCAGCACCTTTCAAGGATAAAACATTGCCCACCAACTTCAGGCTCTTCCACTATAGTAAAGGATGAGTACTCTTGCGTACCTCTGGGCCCCATGTGGCTACGCCTCTCCTGCAAACTCTCTCCCTCTTCCACTCCTACACAAGTTCTTATTCCTCATCTGACTCTTGATCTGCTTTCCTTCCATGGCCCAGAAATCCTCCTCCTGTGACCCATGCATGCGCATTGCACTGGCAGGAAGTATTGATACTAAGACTTTACTGTTCTACACTTTCTATTCCTGTGCAGGCTCTGTTATTGGGTCATGCACTCACAATCACACAATCTATCAAGTGTGATAATCAATTTACCTGCCTCAACCCCACTTATCACACTGTGGAGCGGTGTCAGAACTCAGGAGTGGCCACCTCACTGGGAACATTGTTACTCACACCCAGGTGTTCGATCCTGAAAAGCTAGTGTCATTATTGTTTGATGCACGTGCAGCCATAGACAAACTATGTGGAGGTACAGGCTGTGCCTGTGGGGGCCTGGGTTGGGAAAGGACTTACACATCAAATGAAAAATATATGTGCCGGGGTGACAACTCCTGGCCGTGTAATAATGAGGGTTATCATTTTTGCTCTTATTGGAGTTGTGTTTCATGGGCCACATGGCACGGGGCTACACACTTAGTCCTCCTTTAGAAGGACACTACTACCCCTAACTGCAGTCAAGGCACCTGTAACCCTATAAATATAGTGTTGCCTAGAAACTGGTTTGAGTCTTGTGTGCTGGGCTCCATCAGACCACCCTTCTTCTTGCTCCCCTCCAGACAAGGTGAAAATCTGGGAGTCCCCATATATGAACAAAGAAAAGCTGGGATCCTAATAACTTGTTTGGAGGGTGGTTTTCTGCCATAGGTGGATTTAAAACACTGGTAGGGGCAGTGGGCCTAATTCTGGGAGCATGCATACTACTTC